GTCCCGTCCCCTCCCCTCCCCTCCCCGTCTCACTCACTCCGGAGAGGACTCCGGCGTCAGACTGGACATCTCCTCGGCGGTGGGGACTGGGGAGGGGAGAGCATGGTCAGCACTTGTCCACCATCCTCACGAGCAGCACACAGGCCAGCAGCCGCCTCCAACCAGGGGGTCCACACCCAGCGTCTATGCACCGCGCCCAGGAGCTGAACCCCAAACGGCAAGCAGCCTAATGCTCCTTCCAGGGATGCGGCCCAGCCAGGCCACGCCCCTGGGTGGGGCTTGCGTGCCGTGAGCCAATGGGAAGGCGAGGTGCAGCGAGTGGGCGTGTCCTGCAGAGGCGAGGCTCCGCTTCTCCCCGCCCAGTATCTGCATCTTTGCTCACAACTCGGTCTCATCCTAGGACCTGGGAACCCCTTGCTCCCGCGACCCAGATGTCAGCCCCTAGCCCCTGCGCCATCAGGGACCCCCGTACCCTGCATCTTGCGCCGGTGGAAACGCGGGGAGCCCAGGAAGCTGTTGCGGATGGAGTTGAGACGACTCCTCCAGGCGGCTCCCCCGACGCCACCGCCGGGGCTGGGGGGCGGCGTTGTCCCCGGGGTCCCGGTGGGGCTGGCTCGGGGAGTGTGCAGGGGCGAGTGCAAGGGGGTACCCCCAGAGGAGCGCGGGGAGCCTGGAGGGCCAGGCAGGGGCGTGGAGCGGGCACTGGGGGGTGGGGGCTGCTCCCCGGCGCCCCCACCCCTGGGGCCTCGAGAAGGCAGCGTCTGCGTTTTGGAAGTCGGGGAGCCCCCTCCCCGAGCCTCATCTCCAGCCCCGGGCTCTGGTGAGAAGGAAAAGACCGGACTCTGCGGAGGAATGGAGCAAGGTGAAGATGGGCTACAACTCCCAGGAGGCTCCAGGCGCCCACTCTTACTCACTCACACAGGCGGCCCCACGAGGGCTGGACCTTGCAGTCCTATTATTTCCCCCCAACCCCTATCGTTAGAGGAGAGCAGGGATTTTTCCTACCATGCTCACTGCTATAAACCCAGCAGTGACTGGTGCATAGTAGATGCTCAATTAGCTTCTGTTACATGAGTAAAGGCACCCTATGAGGTGGGAATGGACAATGAATGTACTAAAATACTAATGAAGTCTTGGGTCTTTGGCCCTTTGGGGACAAGGGGGCAATATCTCTAAACTTGATGGGAATTGTAGGTTCTGCTGCTTGATCTTTGCTCCCCAGGGTCTTCACCCCCTTACCCTTTCTCCATTCACTGGGGGCCTGGCCTTACCCGAGGACTGCTCAGAGGACTGGAGGACAGGCCGGTGGAGGCTCCACTGACACTACGGGATCTGTTTCCAGGATAAATTTTTAAAAATCAGAAAGGAAAGGTTTCAAAAGGCTCAGATGTTCTTTCCTTCCACACTCCTTCAAGATGAGGAAATGAGGCCCAGAGAGGGCAGGTGGCTTGGCCCAATCACACAGCACCTTGGAGGTGGCGCTGGGGTTAAAACCTTGAACTCCCTCCCCATCCAGAATTGGGGATCCCACTGCAGGGACCAGGTTCCCACCTCTGACTGTGCTGGGCCATCTCCAGGGCCCGCCGGGTGGGTACGGGGGAGCCGCCACCACCAGCATCAGTGATGCTCAGGACTTCCATGGACTTCCGCTCTGGCCGCCTTTTGCCGTGTCGGCTCAGCATGGGCGAGTCCACACGCTTCCGAGGGGGGTCTGAGGGCAGATTGAAAGACTGATTTGTCCAGCTGTATGTGGCACTCAGACAAATGGGGAAACTGAGGCCCCAGTAGAGAGGGGTTTTGACAAGTCATATCCTACAGCCCCTTCCCCCCCTCAGGAATCCAGGGCCTGGATTCCCAGCCCTGCCTCTCACCAACATCATTCCGGGGAGGCAGGTCCTGGTCCTCACAGCTGGGGTACCGCTCCTTCCGATCCAAAAGCAGATAATATATCATCTTTTCTTGGTTCTCCCTATGGGGATAGGAGATGATTGGGGGTCAGAGGTCAGGTCCCAGAAGTAGTCTCATCCCCTCCCTGCAGCTATGGCTCTCTGGGGGTTGAGTCCATCCAGTAGCTCTATCTACAGTTCCATTTTCCTAGGTATCAAAATGGTTGGTTCTTTTGTCTTGGTGTACATCTCAGTCACACTATACTAAAAAATGATAAAATTATCTAACATGTGAACGCTTACTCTATGGAAGTACTATGGGAGGCACTGTCTAAATCTGCCTCAACATTTATTAATACTTTTCAGCACCGGTTGGGCCTTTTCGCTGCTGGTCCTACTGCCCCCTTGTGGTTCCTCTGGGAACTTAAAACTCCACGTGGGAGTTTTAAGCCATTATGTCCGAAGCCATTATGTCCGGAGAGTCTGTGCCTGAGCGAGGCTAGGCGTGCCCCCATCCCGCCGGCCCTCCACGGAGCTAGGGCAGTTGGCCTGCCTGACCTGGGCGAGGTGCATGGGTGACGGGGCGGGGTGTCTTACTCCTCGCTGCGCAGCTCTCGGTGCAGCCGCTCCCGGTCCCTGAAGCAGCCCAGCGAAGCCATGCTCTCCAGAACATCGGGGTCCAGCTCTCCATTCGACGGCAGGCTCCGCATGGCCACCCGACGGCCTGGGGCTGGCTCCAAGCACGGGTCCGGTTCATGTTTCCCGCCCCTGGGGAGGGGGAGAAACATCATAGGGAACCCGGACTTGAACCCTCAGCTTCATCCGAGTCTCAGGGGTCCTGGGTCCCAGCCTGCGCCTTTCTGGGGAACCCAGGAGTCTGGACCCCCAGCGCCTCCACCCATGTCTTCTCCCCTAGGACCCAGAGGTCCAAGCATCCTACCCCTCCTCATTCAGGAACCTCGGCATCCCACCCCCTAGCTGGCTCTGGCCCTGCTGTTCTGGGGGCCTTTGATATTTGGGCCCCTCTCCCTTCCTGCCCCAGAGACCGAGGTGTCCAGTCCCCCATACTCACAGGTACCAAGGATGTTTCTGAATTTGCTCCAGCTGTGAGGGGGATGGGTCGTAGAGAAACAGAAGTGAGGTCGCATTGTCACAGCTGGACGCAATGAAAGCTGATGGGGTGGTGTTGGGGGTCCCTAAGAGTGCCTCCTCCCTCCCCATCACCAAGGGCAGGATGACAGTTTATGTATCCCCCCGAGAGGCCAGTGAGCGCATCGCCTTGCGCACGCACAGTCCGACTCCTGTGGACCAGCCCGGCCACATTTCCATGAGCAGTGGCACGCTGCCTGGGTGGGCAAATCTGCGCAAGCCCCCTCCCACCGAAGGCGGCATCCTTGCCTTTCCCAAGGGGTAGGTTCCCAGGGTTGCAGGCTCCCGGGGGGGCTCCTCTCCCAGCCATCACCCCGGGCACCGAAAGGCCGGTCCTGGAGGCCCATCCTCAAGACTGCCCTAGGGATTCTGTCCCTCATCACCCACTGTCCCTTCCCCTGTCCCGATTCCGGTCCCCCCAACTCACGCTGAGCCTTTTCTCGGGCTCCACTTCGATCATGCCCCTCAGGAGGCTCTGGCAGTCTGGAGGGATGAAGTGGGGCATATGGAAGACTCCCCGTTTCACCTTCTCCAGCAGCTGGCGGAGGTTGTCATCATCGAAGGGCAGAGCGCCCTGGGTGACAAATGGTCGGCTGCTGTCCCCAGGGCTCCTGGCTGCCCCATCCCACCCGGGGCGCCCCAGGACCACCCCACAGTTCTGTGACCGAATAGTGAGCTCCTGGATCTTGGTCTGCGGGTGGGTATCCCCTCCCCCAATACACGCCCTTTCCTGATACCAGGTAACTATGTGGGGAGAAGCCCTGGGGTGATGTGGGGCCAGGGGCTGCTCTTGACCCCGGGCGGGAGGGGTGAGGGCGCCTTACCACCAGCAGCGCGAAGAGGATGACACCACAGCTCCACATGTCAGCCCGGCGCCCGTCATACTTCTCCCCCTGGACGGGAGCAGGCCCGGCCCGACGGTCAGGTCTGCCCCCGGCTCCCTCCACCCGCTGCCCTCCACCTGCTCCACACTCACCTTAATCACCTCTGGACACGCATAGTGGGGGGACCTGCGGGAGAGACGTGGCGTGAGCCTCGGGCCGGCTTCTCACCCCTCCCCGGGCACTCGGGAGGCCGGGCCCGGACTCACCCGCAGCTGGTCTCCAGGAGGCTGTCCCCCACCTGCAGGGACGCCATGCCGAAGTCTGCGATGCGGATGTTGTTCTTCTCGTCCAAAAGCAGGTTCTCGGGCTTCAGGTCTCTGTGGCTGAGACAGGCAGGTGGGGCTCAGGCCTCCTGGAGGCCTAGGCCCCCCCATTCACCATCGCTCACGGGGGGGACACGCCTGGAAACCTTGATGACAGACAGTTTTGTACATGCCCCAAAGTAGAAAGAACAAAGGGAAAGTCCCTGTACCCGCCTATCCCCTGGCTGCCCCCCCATACGAACTCAGGGTGAAGCTCTCATCCGCACCCCTAGGCACGGTCTCCTCTCACTGGATTCTTCTGTGAGAGAGCCCAAATGTCATTACTATTTTACCCACAAATTTCTGAACATGTATGAAGTGAGTTGAGGTAAGCAGGGCTGATACTGAGCTGGCTCTTTAAATATTGAAATATTTCCTTACTGAGTAATAAAAAAATACTGCCACCCAAGCTGGTTACTGATTCTTCCCCTGGGACACACTCCCTATCTTCCCCCAGGCGAAACTCCTCAAGATTTAAGGGTTTAGCCCGGCCAGGCGTGGCTCAGCGGTTAAGCATCAACCTAGGATCCAGGAGATGGAGGTTCAATTCCCGGTCAGGGCACAGGCCCAGGTTGCGGGCTCGATCTCCAGTCAGGGGTGTGAAGGAGGCAGCCGATCAATGACTTTCATCACTGATGTTTCTATCTCTTTCTCTCCCTCTCCCTTCCTCTCTCTGAAATCAATAAAGATATATCTAAAAAAAAAAAAAAGATTTAAGAGTTTAATATCGGGGGGAGGTGGGGCCCAAGGATTCCACAGTTTCTGTGGGAAGTGGTGGGTAACTGGGTGCTACTGGTCATTAAATATATTGATATTGCCCCCTAGAGGTCAGTGTTTTTAATGTTAGGGTTTTGACAGTCTTGTCAACAGGGAGGTGTCTACAATTTAAATGGGCTACCTTTTTATCACCTGGATTTACCCTCAAGTCTGAGCCCCTCCACCCTGATCCCCAGAGCAGGAGGGGTGCAAAGAGATGAGGTTGAAAGATGAGCTGAAGGCATCCTTTTTTTCGCTGTAATTAATCATAAAAATACTGCATATGTAATATCTTGCTTTGTGAGCTCAAGGCAATCCAGTGAGGAAAGGACAATCTTTTCATGTGGGCGTTCATATGCCAAAAGATGCACCTCAACCTTTACCTTGCACCATATACAAACATTAATTTGAAATGGATCCCAGGCCTACGTGCAAGAGCTAAAACTATACAACTTCTAGAAGAAAACATAGGAGGAAACCTTAGCGACCTTGAGGTGGGCAAAGATGTCACAAATAGACAAAAAAGCATTAACGATAAAAAAATTTTTCAACAAACTGGAGTTCATCAAATTTTTAAATTTTGCTTTTTTTTTTTTAAAAAAAAGATTATTCCCATTTAAAAAGTGATTTTATAGAGAAGAAGGGGGAGAAAGAGAGATTAGAGAGAAACATCTGTTGATTGCCTCCCGAACATGCCCTGACTGGGGATGTAACCTGCCACCTTTTGGTGATGCTCCAACCAACAGAGCCACACAGGCCAGGGCTAAAACTTTGCTTTTTATAAAACATTGTTATAAAAATGCAAAAGCATGTCACAAATGGGAAGAAAATACTTGAAAAATATACATCTGATAACAGATTTGTCCTTAGGATAAGTAACTCTTACAACTCAATAATAAAGACATATAACTCAATTAAAAATGGGTAAAGGATCTGCACAGACATTTCTCTGAAGAAGATGTATCAAGAGCCAATAAGCACACGGAAAGATGTTCTGCGTCATCAGCCGTCCAGAAAATGTAAGTCAAAACCACAGTGAGATCCCACTTCACACCCACTAGGATGATACAGTCAAAAAGTCAGACAATAACAAGTGCTGATGAGTAGAGAGATCGGAACCCTTACAGGCTGCTGGCAAGGACGCTGAATGGTGCAGCTGCTCTGGAAAACAGTCTGGCACCTCCTCAAAAGGCTAAACACAGAGTTACCATACGACCCAACAGTTCCACTCCTAGGTACGTACCCAAGAGAACTGAAAGCATAGGTACACACCAAAACCTGTCCATGAATGTCCACATTATCCATAACAGCCCCAAAAGAGAAAGAACCGAAGTGTCCATCAACTGGTGAATGGATAAACAAATACGGCTAATGCACACACTGGAATATTACTCAGCCACGAAAAGGAACAAAGCACGGACACCTGCTACAACATGTATGGAACTTGAAAACATTTTGCTAAGTGAGAGAAGCCAGCTGCAAAAGGCCACATGCAGTAGGGTTCTATTTCTAGGAAATGTCCCAAAAGGTGAATCCATAGAGACTGGAAGCAGATTACTGGCTGTGCCCCTTACCAGATGGAGTAGCTGTGGCAGAAGTCCAGAGCTGACACGATCTGGCGGAAGAACTTCCGGGCCTCCTTGGGAGTTAGTCTCCCCTTCTTTACCAGGTAGTCAAACAGCTCACCTCCAGAGACATGCTCCAGAACCAGGTACCTGAGGGACATGGAGGGGGCAGAGGGCTGGAAGGGGCATGTGGAGGACCAAAGAGCCTGGTCTCCCTCTTCCATCATTCCCTTGACCTCAGCACAAGACCTCAACCCCACTGGCCCCTGGAGGCAGAGAACCCCAATTCCCATGAGTCCCTGGGAGGAGGAGACTCCAATTCCCATGGGTCCCTGGGAGGAAGGGATTGCAATTCCCATCAATCCTTGGTAGAGACTCCAATTCCCATCAGCCACCGGGAAGTGGAAACTCAATTCCCATCAGGCCTGGGCAGCAGAGGGACACCCAGGTCAACTTCAGGGGTCAACACTTTGACTTATAGTTGTCCTCAGGAGATAAGGCAATCAGAGGTCCCACTTTTCCTAGGAAATAAAGCCCCCTATTTCCATCGGCCTCGGGAAAGCTGAAGTTCTGACTCTCATTTGTTTCTGGGCTGTAGGTAATGGAATTCTCATCTGTTCTTAGACAATGACATTTGCAGTGTTTGCCGCTTCAACTGTCAACTTCTGGGAAGTAAAGACTACAATCAACCCTGGGAGGTAAAGACTGCAACGCCCATCAGCCTCCCAGAGGAAGAGACTCCAGTTCCCATCAGCCTTTGGGAAGCCAAAATTTGGTTGCCATCAGCCCTGGGCAGCAGAGACTCCTATGTCAACTCCAGGAGTATTAACACTTTGACTCTTAGTTGTTTCAGGAGATAAGGCAACTGTTAGCACCTGGAGGGTGGGGACCCCCAATTATCATAGAATTCTGGGAAACACCCATTAGCCTCTGAAAAGCCACTAAGCCTCTGGGATGAAGAAGCTCAAACTCTCCCTAACTCTTGGCAATAATGTTGGCAGTGTGCACCAATCTAAGTCAACTTCTGCGAAGGAAAAGAGGACAGCTCCTATCAGCCCCAGGGAGGTGGTAGAACTCCCAACTCCCATAAAGCTCGGGGTCCTAGACTCTAAATCCCATGAGGCTTTGGGAGATTAAAACTCTCACTCCCATTAGCTCCTGGGAAACAAAAGCTGTTTCTGTGAGCCCTTGGTAGGCTGCGAGTGGCCCCATCTGAGTGTGAGTGATGGCACCTGCAGCCACAGCAACACCTGGGGAAGTCCAAGGACTCCAATTCCCATGAGCCCCTGGGGCCACTGCAGCTTGCTGCCTGGGAAACCTGCCCTCCCAGCATCTGATGGGTGTTGGAGCCATTTCCTCCTGGGCACTGTGTGGCCGGGTTAGCGGGGCTGTCCCCTCTCCTGCGGCCCAGCTGTCCCTTGGGTCACCAGAGTCCAGACAAAGGCCCATTGTCTGAAGCCTGGACAGCTGGACTCCACCCCCAACCTTCCTGGGGGGCGGGTAATTGACTTCGAGATAGGGACTCAGAACACCCAAGGAGTCCCATTGTTGGGGTGTCCACTCATAGTGCCCAGAGTCATGTTGGGGGCTGAGGGCTCCAGTGCTCCAGAGTGGGGGGTTGGGAGGAGGCAGGAGACGCTGGGCTCCATGGCCTTAGCAAACCGAGGAATCTGCTCTTAGCTGAGGGATCCCGATTATCCAGTCAGTGTAGAGTGTACCCTGAAGTTCAGGAGGGCTGGACATGGGCTAGCGGGCAAGGGGATGGGGTCAGCCACTGTCTCGCACTCAGGGCGTCTCAGGCCTGGCAGGCCTGTGGCTGGGGCACATTATGCTCTCGGCATGTAGCTGGGTCAGCGTGGGGACAATCAGGGGTAAGCATGCATAGGGGAGTGTCCCTGGGCAGTAGGGAAGGGACTGGGCCTTCAACGGCCCAACCAGGAGACCTCAAGTTTCCCCAGGCCCCTCAAGGCCTTGTTTCCAGAATGGCCCCACCTTAGGAACTCGAGAAGGGTGCATGGGGTGGGGTGGGGGGCCGGGTGTCTATAAATACCTACAAATATTTCTTGTTCTCGTAGACGTCGTGGAGCTTGAGGACGTGTGGGTGTTCGATGAGCTTCAGGATGGCGATCTCCCGCTCCACCTGGGGCGTGGGGAGGGGCAGTGAAGGTGATGGTCACAGAGGAATGGAGGTCAGAAAGGCCTCGCCTTCCCACCCACTCCCAAAGCGACCCCCTCTCCTCACACACGCACCTTCATCAGCACCGATTCCGACAGCTTCTCCCGGTTCACGATCTTGATGGCCACCTTCTGGCCCGTGATGCAGTGGACCCCGAGTTTAACCAGTCCTGGGGAGCAGAGTTGAAAATGTGGGGTGTTCTTCTATAGCATCCTACCCTGCTCTGGCTCCTGAGACCCCTTTGCCACCTGTGTCTTCCTCCTTCCCCTGCTGGCTGTTTCAGAGCGGCCCGGAGCACCCTGACCTGATGTCCTGTGGACCCACAGCCACCATGCCCACACCCAGCTCTCCCCACCCGCTGCTGCCCATTTCTGCTGCTCCTGATGGCCCACCCACAGCTGCCCTTGATTCTCACCCCAATCCTCTGACCTTGGGGGGCCTGTGTAAGTTCATCTCTCTGCTCTGTCTCCATAGTGTGGTCTCCCCCATCTGCCTCCAACCCTCTCTCTCCTTCAACCCCGCAGTTCCCTGAATTCTCTGAGCTTCAGTTTTCTGGAGACTCCATGTCTCCAAGGAAGACAATTTCATGTTCACCCCTTTCCCAAACCATGCCCTCCGTTTTCTTCCAAACCCTGACCCTCCAATCCCCTTCTTTCATCTGCTGCTCACTGCAGCTATAGCTGGGAGCAGGCAAACCCCAAGGGTATGTCCCCTCCCCAAGGAAGCCCCAAAGCCACAAACCCATGAGTCCAGGCCCCCAGCCCCTCCTGCCTCAGACCCATGAGTCCAGGCCCCCAGCCCCTCCTGCCTCC